TGGTAACTGGATGTTATTGGTTAATCAAGGGATTGCTATAGTACAGGTGCTTACCTAGATGGATAGGTCATAATAAAGATGATGCAAAGTATTTAAAATGGTTTCTTCATGATAGCTTATGCTTTTCGCAAACAAGTCAGCTAGCCCACTAAAGAAAGCATTGCATAATCATTGGTGTCGCTTTATTTTGGTTTAAGATGGGTAAGTCTAGCTGAGTACCTTCTCGTACTCAGGGCGTTGTTCCCATTGTTGTTGCAGATGGTCAAATGTACTACGGCTATTGCATTAACTGCCTGTATCCGGCGATGGGTGACAACTAGGACCAAGGGCAATGGTCACTCCGTATCTCTCATCTGATGCTTTTGTTGGAGATGACTACCTACTGGCACTGTATCTGAACCAAAAGTGTGTGTGTGTCTTTACAACTATTTGCTTCCGCTATTTCAGTTTGAACTTGTGTTGTAATAACTTTATATTCTAAACTCTGATGTACCCAACCGTGATTGCGAACTTTATGTAACATGTGACGGTGACTGCTAAACTTGTACGATCTTGGTTTGCATGTCGATTGGTTTGAAATCCTTCGTGGTTTCACAGACTACCGGGTTATACGGGCTTAAGTTTGCTAAATTATCTGCTTCGGCGGAAGATTTTCTTACTTAATCTCGTATAATTGGTCGGTTCTGTTACAGAAAGGTCATTGCCGCCACCACGGGTACGGGCGCCATGGGAGACCGCCGTTGTTGGTGGAGGCCACTGCCGATCTGGATCTAGGAAGATGAGGATGTCCACCGTTGTTGGAGGCAAGGGCTCTCATTGGGCAGCGACGGCACATGGTGAGGGAGGGGGTCCGCCGCCGTTAGTGGTGGGGAGGACAGCCGCTGCCGTCGTTGGTGGTGGGGAGGACAGCCGTTGCCACCATTGGTGGTGGGGGAGCACCGCCGTCGAGAGCCGTCAGCGTGGGACAGGTCGCTCCGCACGCCTGGGAGGGTGCGCCTGCGCTGCCGCCAGTCAGAGAGGAGGCGCCTGCGCGGCCGCTGGTCGGTGAGGAGGCGATGCAGAACGACGCCGTGGCCAGGGGAGCCACCGCCGCCGCACTATCACACCGTTTCTTGGAGAGCTCTGCATGTGAGGAGAGAGAAAGAAAATAGAAAAAATGAGAGAGAGGTCGCCAGGTAAGGCGAGTACCGAGCAGCAATAAATGAAATTTGCCTCTCTTGATCCAGTCAAAGCACCAACATGGGGCGGTGAAATTTGCCACCTCTATTTACGATAATTTTATATACTAATTTATGATAATGTCAATGCATATTTATAATAGTTGGGTTACTATAACACATGGGGATATTTATCATAACGTTATAGTAAACCACTTAGTAAGGAGTTACTATAATCTCGTAAATTAACATAGTAATTATCGTAACTCAAAGTGGCTACAGAATAAGTTATTTTGTAGCCAGCTACATAGTATATATATATGGAAATTATTTCCTACTCCTAGGGAGTAGTTACTCCCATGTCTATATCTCTAGATTTAGGGCGTCTATAGCCTGACGAAGTGTATGTAGACAGGGTATATGATCATACTAAACCATCTAGGGTAGTATATATGTCAAGTATGTAAGTATACATATAGTATATGGTTATATTTTTTTTTATATACTACTGCAGTGGTATTTTAGTAATATATTAAAAAGTATGGGTTCTTTTGAAAAAATTTCAGGTACTAAGATTTAAAGTATCTTAAATTGAGTATCTAAGCATACTCAAACTGATAAATTAGTATGCACACAAACACAATATGGTTTATTGAAGATGGGAGTAGCTAATCCCGGGAGCAGGAAAAATGGACCATATATATATATATATTGATTAAAATAGTGAAACATATATTCATAGTAATAATATTAGGAGATACAAGGTTGATAATATTTCCTACAAAACTAGTTAAATTTGAAAAGTTTAAAATTAACTCCTCTTATATTAGCATTTTGAGAATTGAGACGGAGGGAAGAAACTTCCAAAAAAGAAAAAGAAACTGTATTACTATCACGCCAATCATTCTGGACCGGGATCGGGATGGCCGGGTCGACGTTGTCACGTCATCAGCGCCTGCCTGCCTGGCTGCCTGCATCCCTTTGTTTATCCCTCGCAGTCGCAGCTACGGCTACGCAACGGCAAACTCCCCTTCCTTCCTTCCTTCCCCGGACGGCAACGAAAACCTTCTCCTTCTCCAATCTCCAGCCAGGACGCACACAGAATCCGACGCAATCCGGAACCCAAGGCCTCTTCAGATCCTCGCCTCCCTCTGCGAGGTGCCCAGACCGAGTCATCCATCGCGGCGCTGCGGCTCGGGGATCTTGTCCGCTCCTACCACTTCATTCCCCGGCGCGTCGTCGTCACTCGTCAGGACTCGGGATCCCCAAGGTGAGCTTGCCGCTCCCCTGCGCGATTCCCTTTGCTCGCCTCCCAAGCAGCAGCTGCTTGTTCGTCGGAGCCCGGACGAGCACGAACTGTAGCGTGTGGTTGGTGTGGCTCAAGCGCCATTCGATTCAAGACCCAAGAGCTTGATGGGCCGGCGGTCGGGTCGGGTGGTGTTCGACGAATTCGTCGGGTTCGAGGGGCTGATTCGGCTCAGCGGGAGCTTTTGGGGTCTCTCCTAGCTCATTCTTCCTGCTTTGATGCTGCCCCCGCGCGAGTTCTTGTTGGTTTGGTGGAGTAGCTGGATAAGGGAATTGGATTTTCTAGCACAGTGCAGAGCCCGAAAAGAAGAAGAAGAAGAAGATTTTGCCCCTTTGCTCTGCAGTTGTTGAGCTGATTCCATTTCGGGCAGCGACACGCCACCTCGCTGCGGCTGCAGAACCTTAGGCCTGTTTTAGTTCCCAGAAATTTTCACCCAAACTATCACGTCGAATCTTGCGCCACATACATGGAGTATTAAATATAGACGAAAAAAAAACTAATTGCACAGTTTGGTTGAAAATCGCGAGACGAATGTTTTAAGACTAATTAGTCCATGATTAGCCATAAGTGCTACAGTAACTAACATGCGCTAATGATGAATTAATTAGGCTTAATAAATTGCAAGCTATGTAATTAGTTTTTTTTATTAGTCTCCGAAAACCCATTCCGACATCCCGAAACATCCGATGTGACATCCAAAAATTTTCATTTCGCGAACTAAACACAGCCTTAGCCCACAGGGGGACGTGATCCCAGCTCTGTCAGTCAGTTAAGGAATTGGAGGCGTGTGGAAATGGAATGGAAGAGTTAAAACTAAAGGGTGTTTCTACCTCCATAGTTTTTTTTATCCTTTCTACCTCCATAGTTAAGAAGGGAACGTCACATTAGCAATAGCAAAGTTATGCCCTGTGCCCCTGTTGCTGAACCGAACTAGTAATATGGATTCAGGCGTGGAAGTCTCACGGTTGCATCATAGTTATAATGCTCCTTCATGTTACCCTGTTCTGACTGTATAATGCTCCTTCATGGTTGGATTGCGTCCTATTTGATGGTGTGAAAAATTGCTGCTCTGTGCTGTATGCTATTAGTGCTATACTCCTGATTGCAGGCATGCTACCGAAGGCTGGCGCAGTGTAGGTCCTTTCTACCACAGTAAATAAATCTTGGCCTTTTGACCCTTTTTTTTTTTGTCATAGTTGATGATTTTTATTTTTTTGGCAAAAGAGTAGGGCAAACCCTTACTGTGGTAAGTGTCACCCTGTTCATGGTCCGGGTTTGCGGTTTTGGCCGGGTTTGTAACCCAAGCCGCATTCTCATTTACTTGTCTGGGTTGGTTTCGGGTCGGTCTCTCGGTTTTCGCTGGGTAGGGTGCTCTGTTTCACAAATAGCAATTCAGCTCCAGCAACGCAGAATAGAAAAAAGAAGTGTTGTTCTAGCTTGCTTGCATCAATGGATACACCCTGGCTTCTTGTCTCGGCCGATGGCTTCTCTTGGCGCTGGCATAGAAGAACGAGCGGTCGGCTGTTTGGCTGAGCTGCTGCTCTCAGTCTCAAGGCCGGCGGCGACAAGCAGGAAGTGTGCTCCTTCCGGCGATGCCCCCTGCGGCCCTGCCCTGCGGGTTGGCCACACGCCCACACCAACGTCAGCGCCCCCAAGTGACAATGAGCAACAAGCACGACGGCACGGCATCAGTCGCCGCTCGCTGGCCCACTAAATGCAAATCTAACGAGGGGCTAATTGGTTTGGGGAAGGCAATGGAGGAGAGGAGAAGATGCTGGAGGGCACGGACGCCCAGCCAAGCATGGCAAGAGGTGACGCCCTGGCCACCAGCGTTCCTCCCATCTAGCGCGATATGTTTCGTCTTTGCCGCCGCCGCCGCCGACCTCGCCGAGGAGTATTTTTTGCTTTCTCTTTTTTAGTTGCTCCTTTCTGTCAGCGGGTTTTTCGGGTAAACCCGCAGACCACTCCAACCCGCGTAAGTGTGGTACGACGGTTTCCTCTGGGTATGGTGCGGGCTGGTCTCCGGTTTTTACGAACCAATGAACAGGGTTAGGTAAGTGTATTGTATTACAAAATATGAACAGATAAGTAAAAACTGTACATGGCCTCAAAAGAGCCAAAAACAAAATACCCAATTCCCAAGGAACAAGCACTAAATATGCTCCTTGCTATGAATATGCTTGACGATATGTTAATCACTAACTACCCTACAAAATTTGATCACTCATCTTTTTAGTTGCCACATAGATGTAAAAGTCATTTGGAAGAAGGATTTTTCGTCAAATATAAACATTGCATTAAGGTGGTAAATGTCTTCATTAAATGTTGTAGACCAATATCCTTTATTTGGGAGAAAATTGTAAATTTACACAAGTTGGTGCAATCTAAATTGTAAAGTAGTAAACATTATCATTGCTCTGCTAGTCTTGTGTAACCTATATATATCATATATCATAGTCTGTTTCTATTTGTGTGAGAACTCTCAGTTTAAAAATATGCATGTAACTCACTATACCTGGGGATTTTTTTTTCTGTAGATGGCTTCTTCGAATGGTGAGGCTGAGCAACAATGGATAGAGAATGTTAAGTCAGGAGGAGCAGTTCCCTGTCTAACACCTGAAAACTGTCCTAATGGCTGGACTACTCCTTCTGGTGATTCATTTATGGTCAGAGGCCCAGAATATCTTACAAACAAGGTAAAAATACCAGGTGGAGAATATCTTCTGAAGCCTCTTGGATTTGATTGGATCAAAGGACCAGCAAAAATCTGTGAGATCCTGAAAGACAATAATCATCGAGTTAGAAAAGCTATTGATGAGGAGGTTTCACATGGTAACCAGCCTTTTGTCTGGGCATTCAACTTGCAACTGCCCAAGGACAACTACAGTGCAATATTCTACTTCGTATCGCTAGAGGCTATACCTGAAGGCTCACTTATGGACCAATTCTTGAAAGGAGATGATGCTTTCCGAAACTCAAGGCTTAAGTTAATAGCAAACATTGTTAAGGGGCCCTGGATTGTTCGGACTGCTGTTGGTGAACAAGCCATCTGTATATTGGGGAGAGCCCTTTCGTGCAAGTATACTCAAGGATCAAACTTCATTGAAGTTGATGTGGATATCGGGTCTTCTATAGTTGCAAATGCAATTGTTCATTTGGCATTTGGCTATATCACAACGCTAACTGTAGATTTGGCCTTTCTCATTGAGAGTCAAACTGAATCAGAGCTCCCTGAGAGACTTCTTGGAGCCGGAAGGTTTTCTGAGTTAAATCCTGGATCAGCTGGTTTGTTTGAAAAGCGATCTGAAGAGCATCAGGAAAGCACTCAGTCTCGGCCTGTAGGATTTTGGCAGGGTTTCTCTCAGCTGTTAAACAACCAAGGCAATCCGAGGGAGCCATCCCCTACTTTGCAGAATACTAATGGAAGTTTGCACAAAGAAGAAGCAAATGAGAATTCTAAATGGTAAGTACTTAGCTAGTGCCTTGTAAATTGTTTATCATTGGAATTAGACCTTGACAGATAAACAAAATATCTCTAGTGCACATTTTTTTTAAAAAAAAGAAACAAACAAAGACTGTCGTGTGGGTACGAAAATGTTATCTATGGATAAGTTATGATGTCCCTCTTGAGTCATGAACAGTGAATCACTTTCCTTTTCCTTGCAATTTTCTTTGTTATCTTGAGGAGGCTACTCAATCAAATGGCTGCACCACTGTGTCAGCACCATTCTATTATATTATTGAAACCCCAGTGCATGTAGCTCCCGCTTGCGCAGGGTCCGGAGAAGGGTCCGACCACTTGGGTCTTTTGTACGCAGCCTTTCCCAGCATTTCTGCAAGAGGCTGTTTCCAAGACTTGAACCCGTGAACCTGTCAAAAAAAAAATGTTTTCTATTGTTTGATGAAGCTTTATCATGTGAAATAATGATATATTCCATGCACCTCTCTCTTGCAGATATTCTTCAGACCCCTACTAGAAGAGATCAAAACCATATCTTCATTGTTTTGGGGTCAATTTATCAGTTAATCACTGCGTCGCAATTCTTCAATAGGATGATAAGTACCAGATAGTACCAGGGCTTGTTTCTTTGCCCTCACATCTGCAGTAAAAATTATATACATTTGCCACAGACAAACTGCATAACTTTGTACATAAACGGAATGCCTCCTAATGTTTATATAGTCAATTATGTATGGACTGCATGAAGCTCAAGGAAAGAATGATTCATTCGACAGAATATGGCAGTTGAAAGCATCTGCATTTCAAAAAAAGAAAAAAAAAGGTTCAGAGTATCTGATTCTGGTAAAGATGGAGAGGAATGCATCCGGTGAATCGATGAAGTGCGATGAAAGCTACAAATCAAACTGATTGGCACCATGAAAGGAAAGCATAGAATCATATACAATAAAACTTAGTATTGATCTGACTTGTATGCTCTAGACTTCTCTTGTGTTCTTGTTGTCTTTCCTGTCATGACCTTTGCTTGGAGGACACCTAATGCCTATCATGTCGACACCTTAATTTTCATTAAAGGGTGTATGTTAAACGTCTGAGGTTTGAGAACATAAAATTTGATGTCCCCGTTGGAAACTCTAGGGTGTGTTTGGTTGCGGACAGGATAGATATCGCACTTTGTCCTGGTGTCTAGTTTGAGGGATAGGGATGAAACCGCCCCAAGAAAGACTATTCTTCTAGGGTTGTCCCTAAGCGTCTCTCCAAATCTGAGGTACGAGTTTTGTCCTCTCTTGATGCCGTTCTCTTCTATTGTTGTCGTGTGCCCTCCTCTCGTTGGCCATGCGCCCACGCCTGCTCGTCCTCGGCCCCTACGCGAGCTCGACCTCGAACCCTAGCGCGGGCAACCCTACCCCAGCCCTAACGTGGGCAGGCATGGCCTTGGCGTGAGCTTGGCCCCAGGCATGGCATGCCCTGGCGTGTTGAAGAAGGAAGGAGAAGAAGGTCAGAGAGAATTACATATGGGTCCCATATAACAGATGTCTAACTAACCAAACATATAGCAAAGCCCATCCCATCCAAAACTGCAATGAAGCCTCTTGTCCCAAAAACAACCACACCCTAATGCCTCGTTTGGATGCGCATGTATTTATCTCAATCCACATGTATTGAAGTTGATTGGAGTGGAAATAAACCAAATTCCATTCCATTTCACTCCAATACACGTGGACTAAAATTGATACACGTGCATCCAAACAAGCCCTAAGTGATATTTAAACTTTAAAGTTTGTTGATTCTTGAGCTTTATATTATCTACTAAACTAAAAAAAATCCAATTTGCTCTATTGCTGATTTTGACGACCGAGATTGCTCTAGGAAATCAAGAATTTTTGTGAGAGTTTATATTCAAAAGAAGAATCACAGGAGTTTGTTAAAAAAAAGGAATTGCACAAGTTCTTGAACTTATCAGCCGACTTATCGGCTAGAATCTATAATATTTTTTTTCAACAAAAAAAAATAGCTTCAGTCGACTTTAATACCAGCCGAACAGCCCTTAGCATTTTCAAGAACTTAGTGCAATTTTCCAGGAACATAATGGTGCGCGGGTAGTTGCAGCTGTCAGGAGCACAATAATTTGTCTGTTCTTCAACCTCTTTCTCCGCAGGAGAGAGAGAGAGAGAGCGCGCTCTAGACGGGGAGATTCCCAAATCGATCTTTTCCGCAACTGTTTCCTCTCCGAGCGGCGGCGAATCTGAGAACTCCTCGCCGAGCGGAGGCGGCGAGCCCGTGATGGTCGGCCGCCGGCGGGCGCGGACATGCACCACCGCCCCTCCTCCTCCTCCGCCGACGCCGCGTCGTCGTTGCCGCTCTCCCCCGCCGACGGCTTCCTCCGAGGTAACCGTGGCGACCAATCTCCCTCCGCTCCGTTCTCATTCTCGCTCCTCCTCTGGGGATTCCCGTCGAGCACCTCGCTTACCCGCGTGATTTTTTTTGCCTGGTTTTTGGGGGGTTGTGTGGTGGCTGTGCAGTGAAGGACGGCGTGGACGGGATGATCAAGTACGTCGCCAACGAGCCCTCCGTCGGGCTCTACTTCGTCCAGCAGCACGCCCGGGCCTCCATGCCCCTCCTCCTCGACGTCAAGGTCCACCGCCTGGCCTGCCTTCCTCTCTCCCTCTTTGCTTTGCTTCCTTCCCTTTGTGCGTGTTGAGCTGTGCTTTGGGGATTAGCATTTGTATTAGTTTATTGGGGGCGATTCGTCTGTAAGGAATAGCATATCGACCTAAGTGATGGATGAAATCAAAGATTTGAGCTTTATTGGGAGGCAAGTTGATGTGTCTTTGCTTCATTACTGGCAAACTTGCTAGTAATTGATTAGGGTGTGCATATTTAGCAGCTTGTTAGTTAGTTGCATTGCGGATTTGAGTTATGTACATCCTTGCCAGATTACCAAGATACCACTCAAGTTCCTGGTATAATACAATTTCTTGCCGTTGGGTATCTACTTGGTTTAGTTTGGATACAGGTAAGCTTTAATGTTGTGCTTCATTAGCAACTGGGTTTCTAGTGATGTAGGATTGCAGGATATAGTTTCATGAAAAGTATTCACTGCTTTTAATGGCTTCATGGAATGGAAGAGCACAAATTTGATGCCACTTTTTTAGTGTAAGATGTACTATCATCTGAATTAGTCAAATACAAGTTTCTGGATCAAACAAAGTAATATTTCTCCTGCTGCTGGTAATATGCCGAACCGTCATATGATGTGGTTTGCTCTTGGTAGTTGGTACAACAAATCAAGATGCTGATATTTTTCTGTATGGATCTAACAAGAGTTTTGTTTCTGTCATCAGGGTAAGCTTGCAGAAAAGACTCATGAGGTGACACTGCGCACAGAAGACATGGAGGATTCTATCTGCGCTGTGAGATCCATGGCTGATTTTGGACTTCCACTTGTTGATGACATGATCAAGGACATAAATAGATCACTGCAAATAATGTCAAAGATCCAGCCAAAGAGAGGGTACAGATATACTAATTCTTGGGAACTTTTTTTTTGTACAATTATAAATATGTTAAACTTTTTTGTTCACATTTTTATGGCTATAAAGTCTTCGCCTTTTGCCTTATTCATTTAAGAACTGTCCAGTTGATATGTTATACATATACCCTGAAGTTAATTAAGATCACATGTCTTTCACTTGAGCTCTCCAGTTAGTTTCCAAACTAAGATCTTGCTTCTTGGCCAATAAAAAACTATAAAACTTTGCTTGTCAAACCCATAATCCCTTGTTGTACATATCTTGTCTGTGCTGAACATCATCTTGTAGAGTTGGTTTTAAGACAAAACTTTCATTGCTATCAGGTTGATCCAGAACCCCAGTTGGGGGTTCCAGTCAAGGAAAAGCTCAGGAACTTGGGATGAATTGGGCTCTACCAATGGAAGTAGCAGCAGGAACTACTTCTCTTCAATGTTCAACACTGCGAAGCAAAAGGCATCCAGTCTCAGGTGGCCACAGCCTGATTTTACAATGAAAGATGATGGTAGCGAGAATTCAGCATCTTCTGCTGCCCCAGAATCGTCACAAGCTGGTGGACAAGGTGCATCTACACCAGATACAGAAAAGGATGAACTCCCCATTTCAAGTCGGTTGTCAGATGGTACGACTGCAATGAACCGTAGCTTGCCTGCTACTGGCGTCTCCGAAACAGTGGAGGCTTACAATAAGTTCAAAGAAGAACAGGAACTAAAACTTCAGGAGTGGCTTAGAGACTCTGAAGAAGCTGTCGGCGATAAAGACTGAGTGTGCTAAAGCAGCTTCAGCTCTGTGGCTCAGTTAGAGCATAACAGAACGTCGCCTTTGTTAGACATTCTGCTAGTGAAACAGAGCTTGATTGGTATAGATGCGCCGGATGCTGAAAGACTGTAATTTGTGAGATCGTTTTTATCACTCTTTTTATCGAATTGACAAATCCGAGTCATCACTGTACTCTGAACAGCCTGAACAATTGGCGTTTTCACTTGCACGATTACACGTCATATATAGCTGTGAAAGTGCCTGAATGTACTGCCTCAAGTAATTAAAATGGATGCCTAGCATATTATATAGAGTAAAGTTCATGGCCGGTCCTCGAACTTGTATGGGTATGTCGTCTCGGTCTCTGAAAATGTGTTATTTTAGTCATTAAACTCTATTTGGGTCTCATATTCATGAAAATTTGTCATTCCGGCCATTAAACTCTATTTTGGTTTCATATTCATCCAAACAGGTCTGACTCCACGTGTCAGCTCTATCTCTCATCTCTCACCTCTCTCATGACCATGGTCAGCTCGCCGGCGCGCACTGTTCACCCCGTGCAGCAGGCTGCTCGCCTGCGCGGCGCGCTGCTTTTCGTTGCCCTCCTTCCATTGCTGCGATACTGGCTAGGTTCTCATGACCATGGTAAGCTCGCCGGCGCGCCACTGTTCACCCCGTGCAGCTGCGGCACCGGCTGCTCGCCTGCGTGGCGCGCTGCTTTTCGTTGCCCTCCTTCCATTGCTGCGATACTGGCTAGGTTCTCGGCACGATTCACGTATGCACGGCACAGGCCGGTGACCGGTGTCGTCGTCGGCCTCGCTGTCGCGTCGCGCCTTGGCTGGCCGCCGGCCGAACGCCGTGCGTGGCGTCGCGGGCACTCGGCGCCATCGCATCGCTGCATTGAAGCCGAAAAGGGTTCCGTCGGCGATAGCTCTGCACCCGCGCCCCAGCAGCTGCAGTTGCCCGCGCACGCCAGCTCGCACCCGTCCACGGTCTGCCGTCGTGTTCGTCTGGAATGGCAGCTCCTCCTTGTACGCCACGGACACCCGGTCCGCCACACCACGTCGAACTCCAGCTGCCGCGACCCGTTGCTGCCGGCGCTGCAGAGGTCGGCGGTCTCCTCGGCGTGGCACGGCGGGGCGGTGCTCGTGCTGTTGTCCAGGCACTGGCAGTGGGCGTTCCCGGGGATGCACAGGCCGTACGCGCCGCACGACGTTGGCAGCTCGCACCGCTCCGCGATGGCCTTGTAGTCCGACGTCCACGCCTTGGCGTCGCCGGTCCAGTAGTACGCGCGGAGGTTGCCGAGCAGGCGAGCGCGCGGGCCGCTGCCGTCGCGTCGGGGGCAGGCGAGCGCGTGCTGCCGGTCATGCCGCCGCTGCCACGCCGGGCCGCGGGCCTCGCCACTGCCTGCTGCTGCTGCGTCGCGCCGCCAGCCGACCACGGGAGAGAGGCGGAGGCTCGGCCATGCGCCTGCGCGGCCACGGTGTCCAGCAGCGGCCGTGGCAGCGACGCGCTCTCGCGGCCAGGTAGCGGCGGCGGTATCACGACGTGATAAGAGGAGGAAGACGACTTTTTTTTAAAACAACCCCTCATGAAGTTTATAAATATTTATGTTTTTTTCGTGTCTATGCGATTTTATTTATAACCCCCACAAATCTTCTATTTCAAGCAAATAAATCTTATCTCGGTACGCGGGTATGGATCCATACCTGTCTCGATGAATGTGAGACCCAAATAGAGTTTAAGGACCGAAACGACACACTTTCCGAGTTTAGAGACTAGAATGACACATCCCTACAAGTTCGAGGACCGATCATGAATATATTTCTGATGAGGTCTCACTGCAAGCTGAAATAATGAACGAAGTGTGTGTGTCTGCACCCTGCACATTGTCTGTTTGTGTTCTTGTGATCTGCGTCTACAGCTCCCAGCATTAAGCATTCGAAAGTTCAGCAGTCGTGACAGAGACAATAGAGTTTCTCCAACCTGACTCCTATCAGCACTTCCCAACTATACTTTCTCTGTTCCAAATTGTGTTAATAGGTTTTGCTATTTATCTAAATATATACTATATCTAGATGCATAGGAGTAGTAAAAAACATGAATCTTGAAAAAACCCAAAATGATTTATAATTTGAAACGGAGCCAGTACATCTCAATTTCAGCATAGATACAGCATAGAACAAACAAGATCACGAGCTACTCCGCCTGTGCGGTCAGTTCATCCGGTGCTTGCCAGAGGCTCAGAGCACCGAATGCCATTGTCAGCCGGCACCATTTCCAGGAGATCTGATCTGCTTGGGCTGCCATTGTCTCCAGAGTCCAGTCCCTCCAGTATAGGTTTCTTTTCTCTTTCTCTTGAACATGCCTACCAAGGATTTCCAGAGCTGCTTCAAGCCTAGCGACTATCCATTCTGAAAAGGAAAGTAGTTTCTTTAGTTTCCAATGGCTCCAGAGAGGGAACCGTAAGGGTCAGCATGTTAAACGCTGCATGCTTCTTTTCACACAAACGATACTTAGCAAGAGATTCAAGTTAATTACTTCTGGTATGCAAGTCAATTGCTATACATGACCAGAGACGCCTAGCAACGATCAACAGCACAGTAAAAAGTAGGCGAGTAATAGTTTTCTTTTCAGCACGCATCAATCTCTTTCCTCTTTGCTGAGTTACCACGCGTTAAATGCTTGATTTTAGCGACAAAACCACATGCACTATATGTGGGATTTAAAGTTTCCAGACTGCAGAAGACAGCAGGAGTGTACACTAGTACTGCTCCTCTAAAGTTCAAAATTTTGTGAAGAGATTGAGATGAGAAATACGGAGTATATCCCAAAGGAGTTATATTGCCAAATAAATAATCCTGCCTTCCTCCCTAGTGAACACTATGGTAGAGGCTAGCTGAACCACCCCCTCCCATTTTCTCATGAGCTTCTCATTTACACGTCTCCTAAAGGTGCGTTTCAGGCTAGCTTGTTCCATCCATAGCTGTGCTATTGAAGAAATTTGCTGATTCACTACATAAACTTCCCAATTACAAGAAAATCTAGCTAATAGGAGACCAAATAGTATCTTCCCAGAATCTAATAGGCTGTCCAGTACCACATATTTGCTATTTGTGCTACGTACCCACAAGGACCAGAATCTAATAGTATCTTCTGAATGCAAGCTGAAATATATACTAAATTTGCAAGTAAGGATGTTGGAGTTTCTGGTATTGTACATTAATTTGTACTTAAAGCCAACTATGTGCTTCCACAATTGAGGATCTTTCTGTATGTATCTCTGAATCCAACCCTAGGAGGGCGTGATGTTTAGAATCCTAAGATTAGGGATTCCTAATTCCTCATTCTTCTACCTAGGACAGGCTTTAGACCAATTAGCTAGATTGAAGGTTCTATAACTATCAAAGCTGTCCCAGAGAAAGTGAGCCATATGAGAGTTCAAAGGGTTGATAGACCACTTAGGAAACTTTGTGAAGGACAATAAATAGATATGTATAGAAGCCAGACATGTTTTTATCAACACAATCTGACACTGCCATTCTGCTCCTCATAGGACAAAAAGGCACCACATGAGCAAGGTCAGCGATGATATATAGGAGAGCAGTGGTGACCAAGTTGTGGGCGGGCTAAGGAAAGTGAAACAAAGGGCCAACAAATCATCTGCGGAATATACCTTCACCACATCACGCCGTCTTTATTTCGTTCATTTCACTATTACCATGCTTGATTGTTTGATGAATCATTTTCTCGTAAAGCATTGTTTGAGGCAGGAACCAGGGAACCACTTTTGTTGATACTACGTTTGCGAGCACCTCATGAATTACTCAATAAAAAAACCTATAGAACTACTCGAAGTACATAAACAATATACATAATTTATTTATTACCATTTTGTTGATATATGTACACACCAATCATATATTCATATAATTTTTCTTTCACTCGAAGCTTGAGTGGAAGAAAAGGTCGTACGACTGGAACCGCTCAAAGCAATTCAAGAGGTATTGATAGGATTTATTTTTTAGCAGTTCTTAGATGTCTAAGGAGACTACTTCTTTGACAGAAAATTAAATCCCAAGCTTCCAATGTAATCCCAAGGACAGTACAAGCTTTTGTTAGCTTATGTATAGTCCTATGTACAAGCTTTTGAAATATATGTATAGTTTCATTCATTTTGTGTGTATATATATGTATAATGATCGAGTGGAGACTTATACACATGGATATACATTAGTAGTGTAGAATATGTATACGAAAAATTAATTGAAACGAAAAAGAATTGAACTAAAAAGAAACCATAAAGAAAAGGAAACCCTAAAAGAAAAGGAAAGAGAAACAAAAAGAAAAAGAAAAAGAAAAGAAAAAGAAAAAGAGACATTTAGTCCCGATTGGTAACACCAACCGGAACTAAAGTGCTTGGCCACGGGCGCGGGCTGGAAGCCCCGTTACCAACGGGACTAAAGCACTAGTAGAGAAATGACTTTCGGTTCGCACATTTAGTCTCGGTTGTGTTGAGATTCGGGACGTCTAATGTGAGCATTAGTCTCGGGTCTAAATTTTACAGGCACCAAAGGCCCTTTTATCCTGGTTGGTAACACCAACTGGGACTTAAAAGCCACCCTTTACCGGGATTAAAGGTCGTGTTACCAACCTGGATTAAAGGCCCTTCAATCTTTAGCCCTGGTTGGTAATACCAACTAGGACTAAAGGGTGATCTTTTAGTCCAAGTTGGTGTCTCCCACTCGGGACTAAAGGTCTCCCACGGGTGAATTCAAAAGGAGAGCGCCCATGACTTTGTTAGATGTGGTGTGCAGTTGAGTTGATAAGAAAGCAGTCCCGGTTAGGAAACCGGAACTAAAGCCAGTTCCCAAGCGGAATTGAAGCCCACCTATGTACTAATGAAGGTTCTCTTCAGTCCCGGTTCCCTGGTAAGGGACTAAAGGTCCCTTTAGTCCCGGTTGAAAACACCCGGTTGGAAAACCCCAATCGGGACTGAATGGATT